ATAGCTAAAACACCTAAAGTGGTTAAGCTAGTAGGATATAAATGAGTATTTTTTTAAAAATGAAATAAGAAAGATAAGATTGTAAGATATAAAGCAAGATTTTTAACACAAAAGTTTTTACAAAGAACCGACATTGACTATGAGAAGACATATTCTCCTATAATAGATACAATTATATTTTGTTATCTCATTAGCATGGCAAAATATATGAAAATATTCATATGCATACATTTAATGAATGTGATCACAATTTATTTGTTCATTTGAACCGATATCGTATGAAAGTCCTAGAAGGATTTAACATGCTAGAAACATGTAATACATATTCTCGAGAAAAGAATTCAATTAAATTATAGAGATCTCTATTAAGATTATTTTAGTATTTATTTTATTATTTTAGTTTTTAAAAATTCAATTTATATTATAATTTTTTATATTTTATTTTTATATCTATTGTTTATTATTAACTCGTGTGCATGTAATATAATAATCACTTTAATGATTATTTATTGAAAGAAAGTTATAAAAAAAATAACCTTATTTGTTCATATATTTTTATTTGAAAAAGAGTTTGTTGTATATGTTAATGACGTAAATGTTATTAGAACTCCTAAAGAGATTCCAAGTGTCATAAGTTATCTAAAAAGAGAATTTGATGTGACTACTTTGGAGAAAAAAATGATATCTTGATTTGCCATTCGAGCACTCGGAGAATGAGACTTTTATTCATCGATCAATTTGTATAGAAAAAAGTTCTACAATGATTCTATATAAAGATCATTCATTGACTAGCCCAATGGTAGTCCATTCACTTGATATCCAAAAAGACCCTTTTTGATCTCGAGAAGATAACGAAGAACTACTTGGTCCCGAAGTACCATATCTTAATGCCACTGGTGCATTAATATATCTTGCTAATAATACTCGATCCGATATAGTTTTTTCTACAAATTTATTAGCAAGTCATAGTTTTGTTTCAATATAGAGACATTGAAATAAAGTTAAATATATACTACGTTATCTTCGATGAATAATTGATGTGGGCTTATATTACTCCAATAAATCAAAGACAGGATTAATTGGTTATACGGATGCGGAGTTATTTATTTGATCCACACAAAGCTCGATCACAATTGGTTATATATTTACATATGGAGATACAACTATATCTTGGCATTCTATGAAGCAAGCTATAGCTCTCATATCTTCAAACTATGCGAAATACTAGTAATTCATGAGAAAAGTTGAGAATGTATTTGGTTAAGATGACCCATCATATTCGAGAGATGTGCGATTTATCCACTAGCAAGGAACTTTCAACAATCTTGTATGAGGATAATGCTACTTATATAGCTTAATTAAAAAAGGATACATCAAAGGTGATAGAATAAAGCATATATCATCAAATTATTTTTCACATATGATCTTCATCGAAATAGTGATATTAATATTCAACAAATTTGATCAAGTGACAATCTAGCAGATTTGTTCATTAAGACATTACCTACCACAACTTTTGAGAAGTTGATTCATAAGATTGAAATACATCATCTTAGAGATCTCAAATGATGTTTTCACCAAGGGAGACCAACATTGAGATTAATGTGTACAAAAAATATTGTACTCTTTTTCTTTCACTAGGATTTTTTCCTATTGGGTTTTTCTAGTAAGGTTTTAACGAGGCATGTTCCTTACACAATGGACATTCGAGGGGAGTGTTATGAAATAATGAATGTTTATCATCATGTTCATCTACTTTTCATATCCCCACTACTCATGATTCTTAATATGATCCAATTCATCATTCAATAAGAGAAATTGAAAGGATGATGCAATTGATTATTCATAGTCCCTTTCAATTCTTTTCTCAAATTTGAATCCTATAAATACACTTGATTGTTTATTAGTTAGTGTACAAGCATTTTGTAAAGATTATGAGAATTATTTAGAGTTATTATCTCTTATATTCTCTTTATAGTGAAATCATTTCTTCATTATATTTCTCTTCAATTCTTCTATTATTTCTATTTCTTTTATAACAAGCAAGACATTCTTTCTTGAATCCCCGGAGATTCTATCCGGTGAAAACTAATGACTATATCCTCATGTCAATGATGGACGAACTTCGCCAATAAATTACAATTCAATTAGTAATAGTTATATATTATAAAAACATTAAAAGATTTGGATGGTCATTATTCAATTCAGTATTCATCCATTCAGCTACCCTATTCACCAAAATTTATGAGAATTATTTATTTTTGCTATGCAATAGTAATTTTTTTCCTTCTAATTTTTAGATTGTCCCGATGTATTCATATACGAGATTTATTTAATATTATATTTTAGTTCTTGATTTTTTCACAAAATTTTATTTTGGTTTCCAAATTCATTTATATTGCAATTTGGTTTTTAGATGTAGAGAGATGAGAGAAATGAAGAAGGAGAAAAGAGGAGAGAGAAAGCTATGATCGACCTCGATTCTAGCCTCTTTTGCCATCGATATTGCTTTCATATAATTATTTTTAATGAGGAGAGTGTGTTTATAGTGGTTTCAAACTATAAAATAGTTGGAAGAAGTATATCGGAGTTTAAAAAAATTTAAATTTTATGATTTGATTTATTTTTTTAATGTGAATTAAAATGCATTTTAAGACTTTAAATGAATTTATTAACCTTATTTTAATGATTTTGAGGTGTCTTGATGTCGGAAATGGGTTTCAAATATCCGAAACTAGACCCTTGATTTTTTAACAATGTTTTCGGCAATCTTGAATTCATCGAAAATTACAAGTGGGCTATGCATCGTACATTACCTCCCAATGCGAGCAACTCAACATCTATTTGGTTTTTTTTTTTTGAAAAAAAAATGGAGCTACATAGAACTTCTTTGCAAGCCCAAACATGCCGACCATCTTGTTCAAGCCTAAGGCCACGAGCTTGCCTTGGGTTTTTTTTTCACAATTTTTTTAATTGTTAAATTAGGTGCAAAAATTATGGAAAATCAATTGTGATTGTTTTTGTTTTTTTCACACATGCTAACGGTGATGGAATATATATGATATGTTTTTAGATTTCTTATTGTTTAAAATTAATTTCTTCAATTAGTCATATTTTCATGAAAATTCTTATCAAATTATTTTTTTATATATAATTTTATTTGTTAATAAATATAATTTATTTTTCTCTATGTATGAATATTTGAATAGAATTTTAAAACATGATTATTTTATTTTTTATTTTTAAGTACATTGATATAATTTATATAATAGATTCTTATGGTTTTTAAATAAGAATATTAAAAAGCTAAAGTATATATTTAGACAATTTATCTCAAATATTTTTTTAAAAATAAAATAAATAATCGATTAAAAAGTAAAATTCATATGTTTTTTTTATACATAATCAAAATCTATCATAATAAATTTTGTAATTATTTTTATTTAGTTAATTAATTGTAACATATTCCTTGCAACTTCATAGTTTTTTAATTTATGCCGCACACTTTGAACCCGCTAAGTATGATCTAATGAATAAAAAAATAAAAAATTGAGATCATTACTTTATTAGAAATTAATTATGCATCTACACACATAATACCAATCATTTTCTATTAATTTATTTTTATATTCTAAAATTATTATTTCCAAATAAAATAACTAATGTAATGTTTTATTTTTTTTTAATTTATGCTGAACACTTTGAACCCGCTAAGTATGGTCATAATACCAACCATTTTCTATTAATTTATTTTTATATTCTAAAATTATTTTTTTCAAATAAAATAACTAATGTAATGTTTTATTTTATTTTTTATTTATGCTGAACACTTTGAACCCGCTAAGTATGGTCATAATGAATAAAAAAATAAAAAATTGAGATCATTACTTTATTATAAATTAATTATGCATCTACACACATAATACCAACCATTTGCTATTAATTTTTTTTATATTCTAAAATTATTTTTTTCAAATAAAATAACTAATGTAATGTTTTAGGTAAACCACACATTGATTCAAATACATCTTTTTACATTGATATTATTAGTTGTTTTGTGAATAAATATATATAAATGAAATGTACATTTTTTTAAAAAAATAATCTTTTATGAGTATTAAATAAGAATGAAAAATTCATATGTTAATTTTTTACTTAATTTTTTATATTAATTTTTATTTAATTTTTTTATGCAATCTTATAAAAAAATATTAAGGCATTTTTTAAATTTTCAAATTAAATTTTTAATTTAAATTATTATAAGTTTTTATTTAATAATCAATATATAAAAAAGAATAAATCAAATTTTTTTAGTCACAAAATTCATGAAAAACGAAAGGAATAAAAAATTATAAAATTAATTATTTTTTAATTTAATATATTTTAATAGAAGTGTTGCAAATATAGTGTGGTCGATTGTATGTTTTCTATCTTCAAAAATTCTAAATTCGGATATTTTATTTATATATAAAAAAAGATAGAGAGAGAGAGAGAGAGGGGGGTGAGAGAGAAACTTTCCTCAAAAGATTGAGAGAGAGAGGGAGAGAGAAACTTTCCTCAAAAGATTCAAAATTCAGATATTTTATTTTTTATTTTTTTATTAATAGAGAGAGAGAGAGAGAGAGAGAGGGGGGGAGAGAAGAAAAAAGTATACGAGTAGCTAAGGGTGAGCAAACGGGTTGATTAACTAAAAGCCGAATACAACCGAATCGAATTATGGAATTTGGTTCGGTTATAAATTTAAAATTATACAATTTAACACCGAACCGAAAAACCAAAATTTATTTCGGTTCGGTTTGATTTTTGACAAAAAAAATCGATTCAAACCAAAATGAACGATTCTAAATTCTAATTTTCTCTAAATCCTTAACCCTAAAAGCCCTCTCACGGACTCGCCTCTCGTCTCTCGCCTCTCTCCCTCACTCGTCATTGCCTAACACTAAACTTCGGCCTCATCCCTCACTCTCTACTCATCTTCTTCTTCTCATTGTCTCACACAGTCACACTCGGTTAGTCACCGCTTTTGTGTTCTTTCCAAACGTCTTTGGCTCCTTCGGCTTCATTCCCTTCTTCTCCACAGATCCTAAGGTCGGTCTCTTTTATTTATTTATTTATTTTTGATTTTATTGATAAGTGATAACAATAATGTATTGGTAAAAGAATTAATAATGTATGGGTTGAATTCTTAATAACTTCCTCCTCCTCCTACTCGGGTCTCGAGCCGCCTCAGCCCTCAGCTGATCTTGCATGCCTCTTCGTGTCTTCCTCTTCTCGTTATCTCGCGAGCTCTCCCAAGTCCCAAGGTCGGTCTCTTTTATTTTTATTTTTTTATTTTTTTATTGTGGGTAATTTTCTTTCGGTTTTTGGGTGTAGTAATTTCTAATTTGGTGCATTGTCTTTGTTTTATGCGTCATGATTTTGGTATGCTGAATTGTTGATGAATCTGTTTCTTTTACCTTCTTGGAGGTGTTAGTAGTCAAAGGCAAGTAGGTTTTAATTCATCTTAAAGGTTGTTATGTATACTCGCCATACTTTGCTTTCCATATTTGCTACATCCGGTGCTTCCGGATGAATTTGTCCATATTTGTTGAATGTAGTCAAAGCAAGATTGTTGAATGTTGAATGTTGGATGTTGAATGTTGCTTTCCATATTTCCATATTTGTTGAATGTTGTATCTATCCCTATTTCCAGCGTTTGGTTCTACCTAGTGCCTTCCGGTGCTTTTGCGTTCGCCCATCTGGACTAGAGTTTAGACTTCTTGCTTCTTGTTTAAAGGTAATGCTACTAAGGTTCACTTGGAAATATGGCATCCAAAAGATCGCTGGACAAACATCTTTATGCTTATGCGAGATGAAGTAATAGAACCTTGGTCATTTGGGTTTCTATGTTCGGGAAACCGAAATGCGGGAGACTAGGAGAGCTAGCGAGTATGATATGATACTCGCTTTTGAATTGCGGACTATGAATGCTTAGATTAGATACACTAGAGTGGTGCTTGGAAAGGGAAGGGGTGTTGCCTATTGCCTAATGCAATTTTGCTTATTGCTTGATGTTACGTGAGTCCGCAATCTCTATCTAGTTTGCCTAGCAAGTTTTGGCTTTAAGGAGTTGCGTAATGAAACACATTCTTTTTCTCCCCCATTTTTGTATGTAAACTAACCCGAGATGGTTGTTAATAATATTTTTGTTGAGGAAGAGGAATTATTCGGAATACAAGATGGCATGTTGCTTTGTTTCTAATTGTTAAACCGAATAGAACGAATTTGAAACTTGGAATACCCGAGATGGTTCTACATTTTTTTTCACAACAACAAAAGTTCGGATAAAATCGAATTATTTCGTTACCAAATCGAAACAATTTAGTTATTAACCAAATTAATTTTAGTTCGGTTTCGATTTTCATTTTTCCTAAACCGATTAACCAAAAATCGAACCGAATTAAGCTTAACCGAACTCGTTTAACCGAATGATCACCTTTACGAGCGACCTAATGGTAGGTCTAGGTCTGTATATAGGAGGACATTTTATTAGTCAACCATAGTTTTTTACATTTGTTTGTACCAAGTTTTCCCTTTATTTTGTATGAATCTTTCCTTTAATCTGGAGGATAATATTTTCCTTTTCGAGGGATATAGGCAATGTTGTTTCTTTGTTTATTTTTTTTTTTTTTTACCGACACTAAGTAGACTAGGATGCATTGTTGGAAACATGCTCATTCAATTTTTTTTTTTTTTTAAGAAGACACTCGCTTTCATCAAAATAGTAATAAAAAAATATAATGATAAGAAACTTCAAGAATACACGTGAATTATTTATTGTAACAAAAAATATATATTCTTGAATTTTTTTATTTAATATTTATGATTTCACTAATATCAAATTTACATAAAACAATTCCTATATTTGCAATGCTTAAATATAAAAGATCACATAATAGATTAGGTATTTGCCTATGGGCCTTGTCGGCGCAAATTATAGAACGAGACCCACATGCCTTTTGTCTTCATTATTAGGAGCACAATTACAAGAAGACTACCTTGTCCAGAGGTCAAAGAATGCATCCGCCTGAAGCACTCTATTACAATTATTGAGTCCTACCTAATAAGAAGGAGAAAAAAAAAGTCAGCTGACAATAGATTATGTTGTAGAAACAAAATGATAAAACCTTACATTTTAAGTAAAACATATATAAAAATTGTTACAAATTGATATAACAAATAATTGTTGCGATTATGCAAGTAAATTGATGTTATTATCGTGTTAAATATAACCATTAATTTGGTATGATCTATTAATTAAATATAGGATAATTTCAAAATAATTGCTGGCAATAAATTGATTGAAACTTTTTTTTCTTTTTCTTTTTTAATTATTTAAAAGGAGAATTTATCACAACGAAAGAGCAGGCTCCGGTGCACAATGGCAACGAAGCACTGACAGAGGCCCATATGAGCATTAAGGCCTGAACCGCTTACACTACAAGTAAATCTCATTTTGTGGAAACATTACGAATAAATGCACCCCAAAATTAATAAGCCCAGCCCACAAAATAAGATCTCTAATAGTATTACAAATGTACGTCAATCGGTCACCTCCCCTTCGTTTACAAAATTCGTTTGTGGTGCAATGGATACAAACACAAAGAACTGCAATCTAACATAGCCTCTGCCCAGTAAATCACAACAAAGAAACACAAACGCCAAACACTATATTGATTGAGATTGTAATTGATACAAGGCTTTTTATTTTTTTTTAAGAAAAATTCTAGATGATGAGTGTTTTTGCAACAAACTCGTGATTGTTATAAAAAAATAGTAATAATAATAGAATTGAAGAGAAAGATGATAGTAAAACAAATTCACTATAAAATAAAGTGAATAAGAGATAATAATTTCAAATAATTTTTTAACCGCTATAAAATACTTATACCCAAACTAATGAACAATCAAGCCTATTTACGAGCTTCAAGATTATGAAGAGAATTAGAAGGGATTTTGAATTATTAAAAGATGCATAAATAATTGAATAAATTATATCATCCTTTCAATTTCTAAAATTGAATGGTGAATTGAATCAAATGAGTAGTGAGAATATGAAATTGTCATGGACATTTATTATTTCATAATACTCCCTCTTGAATATCCATCGTACAAGGAACATGCCTTATTAAAACCCTACTGGAAAAAACCAGGTGAAAAAAAATCCTAGTAAAGAAAATATAGTATAATAGTTCTTATACACATTAATCTCAATATTTGGCTCCCCGGTTGAAAACATCTTTTAAGATCTTTAAGATCATGCGTCTTAGTCTTACGAACCATTTTCTCAAAAGTTATGGTAGGGAATGCCTTGACGAATAAGTCCGTCGATTGTCACTTTGATGTATTCTTCCTTTAATTGAATTATGTGAGCAGCATTATTTTTATGTAATATTGTTGGAACTTCTTTGCTGATAGATAAGCCGCACGTCTCTTCGATATGATAGATCGTTGATCTTAGCCAAACACATTCTCGATCTACCTTGTGAATTGATATTTCGCATGGTTTGAATATCTAACATGTATAGTTTGCTACATAAAACGTCGTGATAAAGCTCGTATCACTAAGTGTAAATACATAACCTATTTGTGATCGAGTTTTATATGGATCAAATAAATAACCTACATCCGCATAACCAATCAAACTTGATTTTGATTTATTTGAATAAAATAAATACTATGTCAATTTTTCCTCATAACGTAGGAAATGTTTAATTTCATTCCAAAGACTCGTATTAGAGTAGAACTATGACTTGCTAATAAATTTATAAAAGAGGCTTTATCAAATCGAGTATTATTAGCAAGATATATCAATGTACCGGTGATACTAAGATATGGTACTTCGGGGTTAAGTAGTTCTTCGTTATCTTCTCGAGGATGAAAAGGGTTTTTTTTTATATATATATATCAAGTAAACGAGCTACCATTGGGCTAATCAATAGATGATCTTTATATACAATAATTGTAGAAATTTTTTTATATAAATTGACTAATGAATAAAAATATCATTCTCTAAGTGCTCGAACTACGAGTCGAGATAAAATTTTGTTTCCCAAGGTATTCATATCAAATTCTCTTTTTAGATAACTTATGGCACTTTGAATCTCTTCGGGAGTTCTAATAATATTTAAATCATTAACATATACAATAATTATCACAAACCCTTTTTCAAATTTCTTTTTAAAAAAATAAAAAAATACGGTTATTTTTATAACCTTCATTCAATAAATATTTATTGAAGCAATTATACTACATGCATATATGTTAGTAATAAAGAGTAGATATTGAAAAATAAAAAAATAAATTTAAAAAGTATAGCATAAATTGAATTTCTAAAACTAAAATAATAAAATAAATACTAAAATAATTTTGATAGAGATCTCTATAATTTAATTGAATTCATTTTTCAAGAATATGTATTATATGTTTTAGGGATCTTAAGTCCTTTTAGGACTTTCATATAGATATCATTTTTAACCGAACAAATAAGTTGTGATCACATTCATTAAATACATGCATATGAAGTTTTTCATTTATTTTGCCAGGCTAATGGGATAACAAAATGTAATTGCATCCATTACAAGAGAATATGTCTCCTTATAGTCAATGTCAAGTATTTGCAAAAACCCTATGTTACAAGTCTTAGTGTATACATCATAATCTCATCTTTTTTAATCTATTTTTGTATAAATATCCATCTATATTCTAATGGCTTAATATCTTCGATTTTTTTGACTTTGAGTTCAAAAACTACTCATTTGTAAGAGAACATAATTCTGCTTGGATTACTCTTTTCATTTAGGTCAATCATCTTTATGTTGACATTCTCTAATACATTTAGACTCGGAATCCTTATTTTCATTCAAAATATCAATTACAACATTATATATTAAAATATTATCAATAAATGCTTCTTTTCGATCCTATTTTCTCCCTATATTGATATAATTTATCAAAATCTCTTGATTTTTCTTAAGCATTAGGACTTTTCCGAAGCCTATTATTAGAAATATCTTGGATCATTTTATGAATATTTACATCCTTTATTTTAATTATTTGCCTCTTTTTTTTTATGGATTTTTTACTTTAGAACCGATCGATCTTTCACGCTTCGGACGTGCTTTAGATTCATTTGCTATAACATTAATAGATCGTCCTTTTAGGACATCAATTGTAATAAAAGCATTCTCAATGGGGACAAGCATTTTAGTTACTCATTTAGAATTTGAGAATGCATCCGGTAGTTGGTTTGCAATACCTTGTAAATGAATTATCTTTTAGACTTCTAGTTCACATTATTTTATATGAGAATCAAGATGACATAAGATAGAGTACTCCATGTAATATTGTTTTTTCAATATTTTCAACTCGCTTATTTTTCTTATTCTCTTTCCCTAATGTTGAAAAAACTATTTGATTAAAATGGTAGTCGATAAATTGAGTTGTAAAAATATCTCTTATTTATGGTTCAAGATATTAAATTATCAAAGAGAATTCAAATCCAACATATATTTTCAATCTCCTTTAATTGCCCATTTTAGTTCGTTATAGAGGAGCATTACGGATTTATATTGCAATGTCAAAAATTCTTAAATAAGAAATATTTAGCTCATGACCGT